GTGCACAATCCCTTGCGCCTGCCACGCGAAACGACATCTGAACGTCCAAAAGTGGCGCGAACATGTCGTGTTTTGTACATTTTGACTTCGAAATGTGCTTCGCGCTGCAGCGGCGTGCAATTTTTCGACATCGCAACTTCTTTAAAATGGTCCGAACCCCATGCTTTGAACAATTTGACTTGGAAACGTACTTCGCGCCACAAAGGCGTGCACTTTTTCGACATCTCAACTTCCAAAAGTGGTCCGAACCTGGTGTGTTTTGTGCATTTTGACTTCGAAATGTGCTTCGCGCCACAACGGCGTGCAATTTTTCATCTCTCATCTGGCCAGATGGCTCCGCACCTGCCGCTTTAGCGAGGCTACTTTTCGACCCTCCGGAGCCACGAACCATTGGAAAAACACAGTGTTTCGCGACTTTCCTACCTTGTCGTGCACCTGCATCTTCTTTCTTCTGACTCTTTCTCTTCTCTGATCTTCTCTCTTCTACTCTTCTCTTCTCTCTGACTCTTCCCATGTCTGCTTTTCATCTGTCCATTTTGTCGGAAGTTTGGCTTCTAAACTTCCTTCGATTAACGGGGCATTTCCACTGCCATCTTTGATTCCTGGAAGGTGGATTTTTCTACTGTAAGCTACTCCAGTTTACAAGCCGCCGGGGAAACTGGTGCGGAGGCCACAACAGACCCTCTGGTAAACTAACATACATATGGAAAATCACAATTTTTGATGGGAAAGCCAATTGTAAATTGCCATTTTCAATAGCTATGTTAAATTACCAGAGGGTACATGTCAACATGCACATCAATGTTTGATGTCAAGATCCATGACTCCTTTTCATTGACAAACTCCCCGTGCCTAGCACTGAGGAATTTCATCGACAGTTTCAGATGCGAGGATCCAAACATAGAGATACCGTCGCTTGGTGCAGCTGCTGCAAGGCATATTTGCGGATTGAGTACATTAACACAAAATGAACAGGGTTGCTCCAGCCCACTATCTATACATCCATCTATCTAGGTATGTGGTTTCCACAAAGGGGGGAAACTTTCTCACTCATCCAATTTTCCCCGCGGTATTTGGGGGGAAACATGTTTATGGGGTTCCGTCTTTTGTATCAAACACCAAGATGTAGATCACTCACAAAAGCTTGTAGATCATCCAAGTCACTTGGTGGATAAAAACCATCCCCATCCAGCTTTCCCTTTGTTCATCCCACGCAGTGATGGGAGCGACGTATCGACGTAGGCTTGGAGTTGCGCGTCCACCTTTGAGCCTGCGGATAGTTGGGACCCTGTGGGCCACCCGTGGGAGCGGGAGCTGATTGAAATTCCCCAGCGTGAAATGGTCATCTCATGTCATCATTTTTTCGGAAACAGAGGGAGGGAAAGAGATAGATAGAAAACTAGATTTGATTTGAAAAAAATAGATTACCCTCTGGTATATTAACATAGACCCTGGCAGATAGGGGTTGGAAAATTAGTTTCCATTAAATTAAAAATAAACTATTTTCAGGGTTTATGTTAATTTACCAGGGGGTAGGTTATATAGTTTTGATAAGATTAGATTAGATTAGATTGAACTAATTGATTGGTGTATATAGTGTTTACACGTATGTCCATTCTTACGTGCACATATATATATATATATTCATTTACTTTCGTGTTTGAGCACATGCTTCAGCAAAGTTAGTTGTACTGTTCTGTTTGTGCGTTCACTTGCTTGTATGACATGAATAAGTCGGATATTTGTTGCAGACCCATAGGTTTAAGTCAGCCAAACCAAACAAAGATTCGTGGCGTGAACAACTTCAGCCCCTGATCATGGAGATTGATCCCAAAAAGTGTGGTATCATTTTGGAGGGTCGGAACCACTCAGCACCACCCCGCTTCTGTGGGTAGTGCAGGATATCCACGGAGGTCAAACTTTTGTTAGGTAAATCATGGTAAATCAATAAAGGCGGGCCAATTGTCTGTCATGTCACTTGACTCAGTGGGCACTGAGGTGACTCTGGCAGCTCTGAAAGTGGCATGGCTGCAGTCCTTCCGGCTCCCAGTGATCGATCCCCAACGCCAATTTTGACAACCAATGGGTGGATGCTGTGTGTATAATGTATTTAAATGGTGCCAGAAAGGTCGATATGATTTTTCTTTCATCTCCAAAGATGACATCATCTTTAGATTGGGGTCAATCTGGTTACTAAACGATGTGAGGTAGAGTATCCGCTGAATTCACCCCTGACCGTGGTAACGGTTGATTTCGCATGGTCAGCCTGTAATCGGGCATTCTTTGAGCAAGTTTGGTAGAAAAAGTCAGATCTCTGAGTTGCTGAACTTTGTTAGGCATTACTTTCCAAGTAAGCAAAATCTAAGATGTCAGCACCATTATTTGTATGCAATCCCATCCAGCTAAGATTAAATATCACCTGATTTGTTCATCTTTGGGCCCTTCATTGAGTGTATTCATAAGGAATGGGATGATACGGGCATTGTATCTAATAATCAATCCTCAATTATCCCCAACCCCAAGTACTTTAATGTTCACATATATATAAATATAATTATATAATTATATATAATTATGTATAAATATATATAATTATATTATATATATATGTGTGTATATATGTATACACATGCACAACTGCATATATATATATATATGCAAATATATATATATACATATGTATGTATGTGTGTTTGTATGTATGTAATGTAATGTCATGTCATGTAATGTAATGTAATGCAATGCAATGTAATGTATGTATGTATGATTATGTATGTATACATATTTATACTCGAACACATATACTGGAATCCAATTGATCCTTATTTTGGAGCCTTTGACCCATACACTGGAGGTTTTTCATCCAACATACAGTAAGAAAACATTTGGGTTCTAGGCATAGAGTATTTGAGTTTGTAGTTTTTCTTCCATGACATTCCCCCACAAAATCTCCCCTCAACTGAGAAAGAACCGTATTTTTATCTCACTAAACCATTAATGTTGTCTAGCCAATAGCCAATAGTGATATCTTGGCAATAGTAGAAACCCTTTTTTCCCAACTCCAGTTTTATCTCCAATACTAAAAGTCAATTAGCTTAATTTGATTTTATTATTGCCAAAAAACTCATGTTCTGACTTGTCCAGAGGGCATGGCCAATAGTGGACCCAACATGGCAATAGTGGATTTTTTTTTCCCAACTCGAGGTTTATCTCCAATACTAAAAGTTAATTAGCCTAATTTAATGTTATTATTGCCAAAAAACTAATGTTCTGACCTTGTCCAGAGGGCATGGTATAGTATCCAGCCATAGGGTTCCAGGAATTTACTATTGGAATGCTGACCCCCCCAAAAAATAGGGGTGGTTTTATTATTAGGCAGCCAACATTACAACACATGTGTTATATATGACATATGAATAATTATGAACATGTGTATGGCTATATCCTATATATAATATATATCTATATCCCACATATCCCCATTCCATCTCCATAAAAGTAGCATAATTCTTCACAGGCGCGTACCTCGGCATTCCTCCCCCTCCCGTCCTGGAACGTGCAGCTTGGACCTGTTGGACCTGGCGGATGAAAATGCTGGAATACTATGGGGAAATACCAAAGAAACGGAGGATTTTTAATGATTTTCATTGGTAAATTCATCTTCTAACTGACTTAGCTGTCGAACTGTTTGTTTGTCTGTCTGTCTGTTTGCCTGTTTGCCTCTCCTATGTATCCATTTAATTCCATTTATCTATCTATAGGTATGCTACGAACTTGATATATGGGTATACGCTATTAGGATCTATTAGGCATGTTTTTTTTTTGACGGATCTTTTATCGTCCCACAAAAGTTTAAGTGGGGGGGTTGGTGGGGTGGTCTTTTACCGTCCCACAAAAGTGAGGGGGAGGGTTGGTGGGGTGGGGTGGAGCGATATAGCATAGGATCGTCCCAAAAACAAAACGATAGAAACGTGATTGCTGAACAACAGTAAATGGCTCTCAAACAGTACCTTTTTGGCTTCTGATATGATGAACTTGGTTAGAACTATTCCTTGCTGGGATGCGCAACCTCTGTTCATTACCACTGCAATTCAATAGATTTCAGCAGCCCAAAAACGTTCTCAGGGGTTCACTTCCTACCGAGGCAATTGTATAGTCACCCCACGGAGAAATCCCACAAAAAAATAGGGCAGGTTTAGTTTACCCCTGGGTATTTTGGCACAGAATTCGATAGGGTTTGACTTTTCTGTAATTTTTCTATGGTCGCTGTGAATCTCTCGCGCTTCGTTTGAGGTGCCAATGGCCTCTTTGGCACCTCCACTGGCAGCGGCACAGACTGACACGAACCCACTGGTCGAAGGGCTGCGGCAAACCGTGCCTCAAAGGCAGTTATGTTTAAGATCTTGTTGGTTAGATCAATTACAAGAAGACCTTGAGAACAAATACAACAAGAATCAACAAGGGCATTCTCCGTCTACAATGGAAACGTCGTATAGGTTAAAAAAAACAAATGAGCGCATTATTACATGACTCCGTTGCAAGCGTACATGGCGTTGGAAGGACAAGTGCAACATCCTTCCACGCACAAAGTGCATACCTATATATTATATCAGTGAACAACCCCAAGTTTCTAACTCAGAACAACCTCATAGACGACTGTGGGGGGAATCAATCAAGCAGCTGCAGAACAATCATCCAGTGCTGTTCTCCGGCATCGCACAGGCCTTGGATGAATGTTTTATGCACAGAGACACACTAATTACCCCCTCAAAACCCACAACTCCCTCAAGACCAACCTTGTTGGATCTTGATGGTTTGTAAAGCCTTCTAGAGCTATGTTAAACCCATGCTAATCATTGTTGATCCAGTTAGAAACCAATTTTCCTCTCTGGCCTCATTCAAGCACCAACTCCATAGCAACTCCAGTTGACCAGTGGGCCACAACTTGGGGACAAGACTGGGGGACACACCCCATGGCCAGGCAAACCGAACGCCCCAAATTGGTTACGTCCTATTATATCCTATGTTATTGAATTATATGTTCATGAAATGGATTTGCCATAAGAATCATGTATAAATATATATATATTAATATACATGATGCGGTAAACCCCAATGCCATAAACCTGAAATTGGGGGACGGTTATTTACCACCTATTGGGAACAATTGGGATGGTTTATGACATTGGCTTTACCACAGTATCTCCCATGACATCCCGATTTCATCCCTAATGTAATCCCTTCCCCCTAATAACTATTAAAATCTCCTATAAACCATTGTTTTAGTAGGGAATTTCCACATAACTGGGACCATGAAGGGGGTGTTTAATATTAGGGGGATGGGATTCTTTGCGTTTCAGGTCTGGCAGATGACCGAGGGAATGTCCCAGCAGCGGCCCTGGTTTCCATCACCGGCACCGGCCCTTCCCGTCCTTGTCGCTGAAGCGGAGGAGCTCCAGCCATCGTCACGGACTCAGGGGCGGAATGGGTAACCCCTTCCGCCTTTTAATATTAAATTGATTACCTAAACACCCCATAGAAACCATGGTTTATTTTCATGTTTATTAGATTCCACATAATTGGGACCATTTAGGGCGTATTTCATATTAGGGGGATGGGATTAATTTTAAAGCAATAGGATCCATCAATGGGTGGCAACAATCATCAAACAACGGGTGGTTTATGACATTGTTTTGCTAACCTTCCAGACAAAACCAAACCTGGGAAAAGAGAAGAACACAAAGCAAGACTGAGGGGCGACACAAATTATGAGTCACGCTGAAAGCATCATAATTGCTCTAGCAGGGATGAACAAGGTTCAAAATCTCTGCAGCAACTTGCAGAAAACAAGAAAGCAAAACATGCTCAACCGTGATCGTGATGGAACATGGGCATGGGCATGGGTGAAACTTGTGTACCGCCCCCAAAAGAATGACCCTGAAACTTTAGATATGATCAGATGATTTCAAAAGCGATGTGTCGAGGTGAAGGGCTGCACATATGGCAAGGCTAAAGCATCGACATGTTTTGCCAAGACCTGAGGACGTCCGATGAATTGCGTTGCTCAAAGCAGGCTGCTCAGCGTTGCTTGGATGTGGATAGCTGTGGCTGATTTTGACTGGGGTGTGCCCAAAATAACACCTTGGAGATTGGTTGGAGGTTATACCAGCACACACACACACACGTATGTATATATATATATACATTTACACATTTTTTTTATAATATGTATGCATGATATGATCATAATTCAGTATATGCGGAAACCTCTACAAACCAGCCAGTCTAATGGGGTTACAGCAAAAAAAAATACCCATATGACATGACAAAGAAGTTATTGTGGATATCGGCTACAAACGAAAGTTGGACATGTTGAATCCATAGAATAGAAGAAATCTTTGATAACCTTGGATTTGGCACAGCTATAATGAGAAATTCATTGGATCCACTCACCTCACAGATTCAATCAAACGAATTCGAGGATTTTGGAGTATTGCGTGTATACCGCCACTTCCCCCATCTTCCCCCAACACACGGCTGTCAAATAAATGAGACAACGATGTGGTCGACCACTGGATTTACTGGATTTGGGGGTGCCCTTTTTGCTGAAGAAATGTATGTGAATCTCAGCCAGTCAAGCAGCAGCAACTTATGGAATCAATGGCAGTAGGACCCTTGGTGGAAAGCACACCCAAGCTGGGCCGTATTGACCGCATTTGACTGCCGGACTGGTGGCAGATTGTGGTCCTGAATGCTGGGTTGGTGGGTTTCGTGGCTTAGACTTTAGCAAAAAAACAGTTTCTTGAGGGATATCTCAGGCCATGTAAGTTGGAAAGCCAGTTTCTGCTTTCATGAAGAACCAAACCTTCCATTTCCCCAAAAAGAAATCATCATGATTGGAATTGATTGATATATGGTCAATCTATTTATGAATGTGGGATGGTAAGTCTTTCCCGCGCCTTCTCATCATTTTCCCAATGAACATCACTACCCAAATGCTCCATGAATATGAATGTGTTTACCAATGATCATGTACTCTGAACAAATCCACCAAATGTGGGTAATTATGGAGCATATGGCTTTATACTTTAAATATGTCCCGTTTGGAACATAAGGAAGTTCAACTTTTTCCCAGGTGAGGGACCTCGTTCGTATGGCAAGAGCCACGGAGCCTCGGCCACATTGGGCGTTTGACATTGAGGTTTGACGGTGCCACAAGGGACCTCATGCTACCTGCTGCTATAGTGGTGGTCTCATGATCCCATAGCAGCTATTGCTCTCCCAGCCCCCACAAGCTCCAAATCTCAGCAAACGTTAAATGCAGAGCTTCCGTTTTTTGTCCCTTCGCTTAAGTATGCTCAAGTAGAAAAAACAACCAACAGTATTCAAAGCTATTTCAGAAAGTCATGGTATGTCATCTGGGTGGCGGTTTCAAAATTACTAAAAGTTCATCTGTTGGAATTTTCCGGTCCCCAGATGGCACCATAAGCGTCATGGCCAGGCTATCAAGGCAACGAGCGCACCTGGCAGTCTGGCAGCCGGCGTCAGAACCGCCCGCGGGATGCGAAGAGGTCGGAGACTGTCAGAGACCCTCCCAGTGGGACGATGCTTGGGGGTAAAAATCCACTGGATGGCCACAGCAAAATGCCAAGAGGATGGGAACCCAATGGGTGCTTCAATAGCTACAAAAACTGTCTTTCGGTCCGAAATGGAGTATAATATGGTATAATGATGGGGGAGGATAGGGATATATGATGGTATATGAACCTAAGCAGCTGACATAAGGGCATTCAAGACTAGCTACAGGGAAGTGAATCTAATGAAAAATACAACATGATACAAAGTGCGGATTTAGGATGTTTTCGCTGTCATCATAACATTTTCAGGGAATCGATCCATAAACTGATGGCGACCTGTCGGCATTCTGATGGCTCACTATGGAGAATCATCCCCCAGTGATGGGATGGGACGATGATTTAAGCCCCAAAAGTTGGGTTACGATGATTCGGCAGTGAGTATATAATAAGAACACTATGTTCAGATGGTAATTCATCCGCAGCTGGGTGTATCTTTGTTTAATATATATATATATTATATTATATTATATATTATATTATTATATATTATTATATATATATATATATTATATATTATATATATATATATTATATTATTATATATCCTCATCGCACATAGTGGCTGTTCACAGCCGCGGCGAAGCATGTTGAATTCTATTGGTTCAGGGGGACAGCATGGAATTATTGTACACTATATATATATAAATATATATATATAATGTTGTTGCTATGCTGGCTGCTGGATGATATACCGAAGACTTGCGTATCACCGGGCCAGGACCGGAGCCGTCGGAGCTGATGCAAAATCGGTGTCCTATGAGTACAATTTCACCGTGGTCTTCCACGGCTATGACAAGGCGGGGCATGGCCATGACGTGCCGTATCAGAACTGACAGGGCTTGTGCTAAAATGGTAAGATGCCCCATAAACTTCAACATAGTTCTCTCAGCCTGTACCCGGTACGCTTTGGGCTGGAAGTAGAAAAGCACTGAACAAACTCACCCTTTTGAAATGGTTTCCTACACCCTTTGGCAAAAAAAACCTTGGCAATTCCATGCGTTTCCAATCATTTCCATCCATGCTAAGTAGAAAGATCATCATGAACATACATGTATCCTAATATTGGTTGATAGATGTTCATAGCCAGGTGAGATTGCCAGAGGTTTTCTCCCCAATTTGTTGCTTCCAAGATTTATGCGTTGCTATGCCTAAATGTTCCCCTTACTGTAAATGTGTCGAGATTTCATTTCTCACCTCCCGAATCAATCGAACCTGCTGAGCCCAGGTGAAGAATTCAAAGTTCGAACTCGTCCAGCGCTTGATTGGCCGTGGTGGCTGTAACATGTGCCGGGGCGAAATGCGAAGCGCTTTGATTTGGCGGCCTTTTAGGATCCACATGTGGTTCAAACGTACAGCCTAAATATGGTTAGTGGATGTTAGTGGTGTGAGAATGTTTGGGAATTCTCAGTTTCCCACCTTCAAACCAGAAACCGTTGTCGATAGAACTCGTGCCAAAACAAGACCCAAATTCCTGGCTCCAATGACCCCTGCCACATCTGGAGACATGGCTTGGGGGGAGCAACTCCTTGAGAAGGCGATGGAGAGAGAAAGGGGGCCTCAATCATTTTAGCTATTTTGGCCTGGTCCGGGGGTTTACAATTGGCTTGCCCATATTTACCTGGAAGTGCATATGGTTTTGTATGGAACATGGGGCCGTCCAGTTCAATTTGATACTCGCACACATTTCATTTGGAGCGGAGAGGGTTTGCTGGGGGTGAAGGACCCCAGGTCGGCGCACGTTCAACTTAGGGGGGAAACTAGACGACGGTTGGCCCGAGAGCGAAAAAGACGTTTTTCAAGCAGCTCTGAGTATGGTAGTCGTAAAAAATAGTCGGTGATAGGTTGGTGAATTTTATATGAGCTATGGAGGGGTAAGTTGTGAAAAGTAAGATTGATTAAGAAGAGGATACATGTGACAACCCATGCATATGCACTGTGCTGCTTGGTAAAGGGCATCATATGACACGTGTCTCGCAACCACAGAGAGACATAGATAGAGAGAAAGGGAGAGAGAGAGAGAGAGAGATAGAGAGAGAGAGAGTGAGAGAGAGAAAGAGAGAGAAAGAGGGAGAGAGAGAGAGAGAGCAGGGTCTTCTGTTGTTAGTATTGAGACACTATATTGCAAGACAATATATTAAAGATGTATTTTAGGCAGGCGAGACAAGTAGTATCAAGACAATATATTACAAGTACAAAACACTGGTTTGCATCCTATCCTTCGTATTGTTTTTCACACGCAGACGCTTTTGCACACAGACGCTTTTACACACAGACGCATTTACACACAGACGCTTTTACACACAGAAGCGTTTACACACAGACGCTTTTACACACAGAAGCTTTTACACACAGAAGGTTTTACACGCAGACACTAGACACTTTTACACACATAGGCTTTTACACACAGACGCCTTTACACACAGACACTAGACACTTTTACACGCATAGGCTTTTACACACAGACGCTTTTACACGCAGATGTTTTTAGACACACACACTTTCACACACAGAAGCTGTTACACACAGAAGCTTTTACACACAAACACTTTCACACACAGAGGCTTTTACACAGAGGCTTTTACACACAGACGCTTTTACACACAGAAGCTTTTACACACAGACTCCTTTACACACAGACGCTTTTACACGCAAACACTTTCACAGACGCGTTTACACACAGACACTTTTACACACAACCGCTTTTACACACAGACACTTTTACACGCAGACGCTTTTATACACAGGCGCTTTTACAGGCAGATGCTTTTACACACAAACACTTTCACAGTCGCTTTTACACGCAGACACTTTTACACACAGACGCTTTTACACACAGACACTTTTACACGCAGACGCTTTTACACACAGGCGCTTTTACACGCAAGTGCTTTTACGCACAGAAGCTTTTACACACAGACACTTTTACACACAAACGCTTTTACACACAGACCCTTTTACACACAGACCCTTTTACACACAGACGCTTTTACACACAACAGTTTCACACACAGAGGCTTTTACACATAGAAGCTTTTACACACAGAGGCTTTTATACACAGAAGCTTTTACACACAGAGGCTTTTACACACAGAAGCTTTTACACACAGGCGCTTTTACACACAGAAGCTTTTACACACAGAGACTTTTACACACAGACGCTTTTACACGCAAACGCTTTTACACACAGACGCTTTTACACACAGAAGCTTTTACACACAGACTCCTTTACACACAGACGCTTTTACACACAGACGCTTTTACACACAGAAGCTTTTACACACAGACTCCTTCACACACAGACGCTTTTACCCACAGAAGCTTTTACACACAGACGCTTTTACACACAGACGCTTTTACACACAGACACTTTTACACACAGACACTTTTACACACAACACTTTCACATACAGAGGCTTTTACACACAGGCGCTTTTACACACAGACGCTTTTACACACAGACGCTTTTACACACAGACGACACAGACGCTTTTACACAGACGCTTTTAGACGCTTTTACACACAGACGCTTTTACACACAGACCCTTTTACACACAGACGCTTTTACACACAACCGCTTTTACACACGACACTTTTACACACAGACACTTTTACACACAGACGCTTTTACACACAGACACTTTTACACACAGACACTTTTACACACAGAGGCTTTTACACACAGAGGCTTTTACACACAGACACTTTTACACAGACGAAAGCGTTACGATTGACCAAGTAAAATCGCATTTTTCCTCAGCTTTTGACGTCCAACGTCCATTTCGTGCGTAACGGTTGCGATTGACAACTCAAAGTCGCAATTTTTCCTCAGTTTTTGACGTCCAACGTCCATTTCGTGCGTAAGGGTTGCGATTGACAACTCAAAGTCGCAATTTTTCCTCAGTTTTTGACGTCCAACGTCCATTTCGTGCGAAAGGGTTGCGCGCGACACCTCAAAGTTGCAATTTTTCCTCAGTTTTTGACGTCCAACGTCCATTTCGTGCGAAAGGGTTGCGCGCGACCAATAAAAGTTGCAATTTTTCCTCAGTTTTTGACGTCCAACGTCCATTTCGTGCGAAAGGGTTGCGCGCGACACCTCAAAGTTGCAATTTTTCCTCAGTTTTTGACTTCCAACGTCCATTTCGTGCGAAAGGGTTGCGCGCGACACCTCAAAGTTGCAATTTTTCCTCAGTTTTTGACGTCCAACGTCCATTTCGTGCGAAAGGGTTGCGCGCGACCAATAAAAGTTGCAATTTTTCCTCAGTTTTTGGCGTCCAACGTCCATTTCGTGTGAAAGGGTTGCCGGCGACGCTTCAAAATCGCAATTTTACCTAGGTTTTGGACGTCCAACGTCCATTTCGTGCGAAAGGGTTGCGTTTCGTGGCGCTCCGGCGGCACCGCCCCCGCCTTAAGAGAGAATAGAAAGAAGAGCGAGAGGAGATCTGCAGATGTGAAGGTGTGAAGATGTAGATCTGCAGATGTGAAGGTGTGAAGATCTAGATCTGCAGGTGTGAAGGTGTGAAGATGTAGATCAGCAGATGTGAAGGTGTGAAGATGTAGATCGGCAGATGTGAGAGTGTGAAGATCTAGATCTGCAGGTGTGAAGGTGTGAATATCTAGATCTGCAGATGTGAGGGTGTGAAGATCTAGATTGCAGGTGTGAGGGTGTGAAGATGTAGATCTGCAGATGTGAGGTGTGAAGATCTAGATCTGCAGATGTGAGGGTGTGAAGATCTAGATCTGCAGGTGTGAGGTGTGAAGATCAGAGATCTGCAGGTGTGAGGGTGTGAAGATCTAGATCTGCAGGTGTGAGGGTGTGATGAAGATCTAGATCTGCAGATGTGAGGGTGTGAAGATCTAGATCTGCAGGTGTGAAGGTGTGAAGATCTAGATCTCCAGATGTGAGGGTGTGAAGATCTAGATCTGCAGGTGTGAAGGTGTGAAGATGTAGATCTGCAGATGTGAAGGTGTGAAGATCTAGATCTGCAGGTGTGAAGGTGTGAAGATCTAGATCTGCAGGTGTGAGGTGTGAAGATCTAGATCTGCAGATGTGAAGGTGTGAAGATCTAGATCTGCAGATGTGAGGGTGTGAAGATCTAGATCTGCAGGTGTGAAGGTGTGAAGATCTAGATCTGCAGGTGTGAAGGTATGAAGATCTAGATGTGCAGATGTGAGGGTGTGAAGATCTAGATCTGCAGGTGTGAAGGTGTGAAGATCTAGATCTGCAGGTGTGAGGGTGTGATGATGTAGATCTGCAGATGTGAAGGTGTGAAGATCTAGATCTGCAGGTGTGAAGGTGTGAAGATCTAGATCAGCAGATGTGAAGGAGTGAAGATGTAGTATAACGGCTGCTTTTTTACGAAGAACCCTTCGCAGGCGCTCTCGGGAAAAAGATGTGTCAATATATATACACACATTTTTTGGTCTATGTTTTGGTGAACTATGTGAGCTGCGAGCTCCAAGCTTTGGGGTTATATATGGTTATATATATATATATTAAAATCTATTACTGTATATCTTTTGGTCCTGAACATATCTGAAAATCATCCTTGTGTATCTCGGGCCTCGGGGTCTCAGGAAGGCGATCTACAGCGGAAAGCCGGTGTCGGCGCGCGTGACGGGCTCGGAAGGGCCTGACATAGTGCAGCTGGCCGCGCCTCGGCACGAGACATGGCAAGCTGGAAAATGTCTGGGAAATTCGTGAACGAATAACGAAATTGAAGGTTTTAAGATGAGAACATCATTGGACTCATTGGTGGGATTGCCATGTTTGATTGCCAGAGGGTAATGTGTATTTTCCGGAATTATTAATGATTGAAATATGATTGACATATGATTGATGGATCTTATATAATTGGATCCACAATATCAGCTATTGTTGCAAAAGTAACCCATATCGATGAATATTATGTGATAGTACTGAGGGATACTATTGCCGTCGGGATGATTACAGTATCATACAGTATCGGGATAGTTATATACACATGATCATTGAGATTATGGGATTTACAATGCAATGGCACACCCCTTCTAGTTTTTTTAAGGCCCAAATTGTTGATAATCCAGAATGGTTCATTGTGTAGCGACCTCACTCGTCTTCCGTGGATTCCATGGATTGTCCACCATACCCTCTGGTACTCAAACATACTCAAACGTGGCAACGGATCAGTCAAGCATAGTCAAACTCTAAACTTTCGGAATTTTCATGGATTTTCCAGCCACGGTTGATCACCGGGTCACATCCATATATCATGGGTTACATACCTATCTATGATATCCTTATTTATTTTACTGGGCAGGAAACGTATCATGTCTGTGCCTTGGTGATTGACTCTAGGTGAAGTGCCAGACAGAGGAGTTAATGAAGGACTCTCTGGCCCTGGGGAATGGATCTAAATGGTTTGAGTACTCCGCGGGCTGAGAGTTTTGACTAAATATACGTGGCAGAGGAAACACAAGAAATACCAAGATGCAAATTTTGAGTGGATTTTTCGATGAATTGATGGATTGACAATTAGCATTTCTTTGGTGAAAATCATCTATGAATAAATGAAGATGGATGGTCTTTTCGGGAATGGGTCCCATTGTTAGCAGTCCTTGCAAAACCTTTACAGGTAGAATATTCCCCCAATTCATCCTTTAGTCGTCCAACTTTGTTATGAATTCCCTCTGGCGATGGTACACATCTTCGGCGAGTTCTACCATTGGAATAACTCAATTCATAAAGAATTCAATTCAATTAGATTTATGATTCATCAGTTTTGCAATTTTGTGCATTTGCGTGTGGTATGAGCAGTGATGTTTTCACTCACATCATGAATGCTGACACCATGACACCTATCCATCGCACCTGGCCATGCCTCCATCAGGAAACCAACCCTGGCAGGATGCGCGGATCTTCGTGATCAAGCTAATCTCTGACATCAACACTCATTGGCGCAAATATTGCCGTCAAAACCAGCTTCATTGCCCTGAACTTTTCTACATTTGCGACTTGAACATTTGTATTTTTCGCTTTGCACAGGAAGACCCACCCCCGATATAAAACCAGGGAAACAGATGATAGACCGCTTGATTTGTTTGTTTCGTTAAATGCCGATGACCGTGTGTTCCTCCCTTATTGAGAAACGTGCTACAGGTGAAGTGGGGCGATGGGGATGATTGGAGGGATGTTCGAATCTGGACAGGAGCTTTAGCGGGTGTATGTAAGGACCCATGCGCTTTGCATTCTTAGATGCAACGCCCTCTGACCTGTGACGTGCCAACCCAGCTTTTTCCCCACCTGCCAGGTGAGGGTTGTTAGATTTTATGTCAGTTGCCTCCTCGTCCTCCTCCTCGTCCTCCTCCTCCTCCTTCTCCTCCTTCTCCTCCTCGTCCTCCTCCTGCCTCGTCCTCCTCTCCTCCTCCTCGTCCTCCTCGTCGTCCTCTGCGTCCTCGTGTGCCCTGCCGGACCTCAACCACGACGATCCACAGTGTTCCCTGCCGGACCTCAACCACGACCATCCACGCCCAGTGTTCCCTGCCGGACCTCAACCACGACCATCCACGCCCAGTGTTCCCTGCCGGACCTCAACCACGACCATCCACGCCCAGTGTTCCCTGCCGGACCTCAACCACGACCATCCACGCCCAGTGTTCCCTGCCGGACCTCAACCACGACCATCCACGCCCAGTGTTCCCTGCCGGACCTCAACCACGACCATCCACGCCCAGTGTTCCTGCCGGACCTCATGTAGGAATGTCAGATAGATGCCAGATAGAATGCTGTCAGATAGGATGCCAGATAGAATGCCAGATAGAATGCCAGAAAGAATGCCAGAAAGAATGCCAGATAGAATGCCAGATAGAATGTCAGATAGAATGTCAGATAGCCAGATAGAATGCAGATAGAATGCCAGATAGAATGCCAGAAAGAATGCCAGATAGAATGCCAGATAGACTGCCAGATAGAATGTCAGATAAAATGTCAGATATAATGCCAGATAGAATGCCAACATATATGCCAGAATATATGTCAGATAGAATGCCAAAATATATGTCAGATATAATGCCAGATAGAATGCCAGAATATATGCCAGAATATATGTCAGATAGAATGCCAGAATATATGTCAGAATAAATGACAGGTAGAATGCCAGAATATATGTCAGATGAAATGTCAGAAAATATGTCAGATAGAATGCCAGATAGACTGCCAGATAGAATGCCAGGTGGAATGTCAGGATATATGCCAGATAGAATGCCAGAATATATGCCAGAATATATGTCAGATAGGATGTCAGAATATACTAAACATATGTCCAAATATACGTCCTGACATGTCATGGTGGGGATCACACGAAGTAGAGTAATTTATTTTTTTCCATTTTCTCTTGTAGCACCTGAGTATCTGAGTATCTGGACATATCTGGACAATCTTGCAAGCTCCCAAGTGAGAAATATAGTAGCGCCGCTGCAATGCAGCTTTACAGCAGCTGAGGTGATGGTGAGTGGGCGGAGGTGTGAAAAATAGGGCCGGGGCCCATCGGGCAGCATGTTCTTCCTGCTGTACAGTAAATGCCAGTCTTCGGTACACGCCGAAGGATACAATGGTACACATAAGTCTGAGATGCCGTGGGGATGTCAAACCTCTGTTCTTAGGACAGCCTTGTATTCTTCGGATTTGTTCGGATCATATTAGGATCATTTTGATATGTGACTTGAAACATCCAGAATCCATCCGAATAGCGACCTCTCTGGGCTGATGTGGCTAGCTGGATGAGTGATAAGTATCGACAGAACTGTTTGTTTTCCGAGACTTGGGATGCTTGGGCATTTCGGGTAGGCATGCCCGAAGACTTGTGTTTTGGACATTTTTGAACCGTCTTCATTGGGACTTTGTGATGGTTGCCGTTTGAATTCTAGTTTGGAAGTTCCAACTGCCAGCTGGTTTGTGCCTTCACTGCTGAGCAGAATCCATCATAAAAGGTGAAAAAATAATAGAAATTACTTTACTTCGTGTGATCCCCACCATGACATTTATACATTTTGTTACTGGCAAATCTTCTGGCATTCTATCTGACATACCTTCTGGCATTCTATCTGACTTTCTATGTGGCATACCTTCTGGCATTCTATCTGGCATATCTTCTGGCATTCTATCTGACATATCTTCTGGCATTATATCTGGCATATCTGGCATAGCTTCTGGCATTCTACCTGGCATATCTTCTGGCATTCCATCTGGCATTCTATTTGGCATATCTTCTGGCATATTATCTGGCAAATCTTTTGGCATTCTATCTGGCAAACATTCTGGCACTTTATCTGGCATATCTTCTGGCATTCTATCTTATCTGGCATTCTATCTGGCATACCTTCTGGCATTCTATCTGGCATATCTTCTAACATTCTATCTGGCATTCTATCTGACATTCTATCTGGCATACCTTCTGGCATTCTATCGGGCATATCTTCTGGCATATCTTCTGGCATTCTATCTGACATATCTTCTGGCATTCTATCTGGCATAGCTTCTGGCATTTCTGGCAGATGTTCTGGCATATCTTCTGGCATTCCATCTGGCATTCTATTTGGCATATCTTCTGGCATATTATCTGGCAAATCTTCTGGCATTCTATCTGGGAAACATTCTGGCACTTTATCTGGCATATCTTCTGGCATTCTATCTGACATTTTATCTGGCATTCTATCTGGCATACATTCTGGCAATTTATCTGGCATATCTTCTAACATTCTATCTGGCATATCTTCTGGCACTGTATCTGGCATATCTTCTGGCATTTTATCTGGCATATCTTCTGGCATTCTATCTGACATTCTATCTGGCATATCTTCTGGCATTCTATCTGGCCGTTGAGGTCCAGCGGTGCGCACTGAGCTGGGAAGGTCCCAGGTTGAGGTCCAGCGGTGCGCACTGAGCTGGGAAGGTTCCAGGCAGCGGTGCGCACTGAGCTGGGAGGGTCCCAGGTTGAGGTCCAGCGGTGCGCACTGAGCTGGGAAGGTCCCAGGTTGAGGTCCAGCGGTGCGCACTGAGCTGGGATTGTCTCAGGTTGAGGTCCAGCAGTGCGCACTGAGCTGGGAAGTTGGCGAAGAGTTTGGCGAAGAGTTGGCAAGGCGGAAGTTGAGGTGGAAGTTGATGCAGACATGGTCGAGGAGAAACTGGAGGAGGAGGCGGAGGAGGAGGATGAGGAGAACAGCTCTGGTAAAATCTAACAACCCTCACCTGGCAGGTGGGGAAATATCAATCTCGCTTGGAGAGAGAGAGAGAGAGAGAGGGAGAGAGAGAGAGAGAGATATCCAATGTTGCTTTGGGAATCTTGAGATATCTTGAGATATCATTGATTCCTGTTTCTACTTGAATATTTATTTTTATGTATTTATATATTACTTGGCTATGGCGGCGACATCATGAACATTCATGAACTATAACATCTATAAACACCAGGTGTTTGACACCAAATTATAGTTTGACATATCCACGGTGTTTCATGTGCGGCTTTGGGGGATCAGTAGCAGCGTCTCGTTACTGAAGCGAAAGCCGCCGGAGAAGCTAGGCACCATGTGCCGTGCTCGGGGTAACGCCCGCCATATGACCATAAGTTTGTAATGTTGGAACTATCCCCAAAATCCCCATAACTGGGTGGAACATGTCTAAACTATGAGAATATTGGTGGTTTATAACATTGATACACGATATGAATGTGTTTTGATCCAATTAGTGGTTTGAGATTTGTCCGTGCTGGGACGGCCTCGTTGTTGACTTTTGTCGTAACCGCCAACCAGCAGAAAGTATCAGATGTATGATACATATTATCACATAATATATATATATATATTATAGTATGTGCATGCATACCAACATATGAATATTTATAAAGGTGTATATATACATTATATATATATGCTGCATAATAAGCATACCATACACACACATATATATATTATGTGTGTGTGTGTTCTCTGCCGATGTCTTTGTTGCCAACTAGCAGAAAAAACAAGTTGGAACTATATTATATAATAGTGGGTTTGGATGTTTGTTTGGCTGGTGATTCTACCCTAGACATGTCACCTTTTGACAAATTTCAATCTTTACAAACCCAGCGTCGCCCCTGGCAAGAGGGGCGCAACTCGCCCGAAAAATGGCCCATGGGTGGTGGTCAAACCAGGTGTTTAAGGCCAAGGATGGTGAGAGGTTGCCCCCCCAAAAAGAAGCATTCAGACTGCGGTGGAGGCAGATTTTCTGAGAGCTCTGCCAGACTGCTCTTGCGAATCAACCTTAGGTTTGGCAAATTGGTTTATCATACGCACACGTGTATATATATATGTGTGTGTGTGTGTACATGTATATTTACATATAGATATATATATATATATGTTTATTGATATACATCAACATGTATAACGTTGTAACAGCGTGTAAAATTTAGGCTTATGTAATTTTTCAAACACATATACAAACAGTAGGGCCAAGATATGTCAGGATCATCTTAAATGATACTTGGATATTTGGATGCCTCAGAGTGATCGAACGTTGCATGCACGACACTAGGTGCCTTGGGAACCATGGGGGAAAACCTTCAGTAAACTAGCATAGGTATATATAGGTATGGAAAATCCACCATTTGTAGATAATTTCCCAGGGAAACCATTGATATTTATTATCTATGTTAGTTTATTGGAGGGTACAGTAGTTTATATAGTTCTCCTTGAAACAAGCCTCGAACTGGACACCCACTTTCCAAGGAAAACCAGGCTCCCGGAGACATGATCCTCCCACTTGGACTACAAAATGCCTTGCATTCAAAACGCATAGGGCCACAACAAGTAGCACCGAGATACAGAAAGCAACACTGATACACCATGATTATATAGGGATGTATGTCATGACGATATATTGGCATACAGAGCTTCTACATTGAGCTATCAGATTTTGCATTTTCAACAATACAAATCATGTTCCATCACTAAACGTGGGCCTCGTTCCATCAAGCCTTGCGAAAGACTCCTGAACCGTTCAATGCCCAGAGGGGACTTCCATACTTATGGGAAATGGCTACTATTGGTGCATCGATGACCCAGTCTGAAACTACCAAAAAAAACCCTTGCAACAAAGGCTGTCTTTCACATGTGGCATGGTAGTCAATGACATCGTAGAAATCATCTGACTCTACATAGACAAGAGGATACTATGCACATGGGTTTGTCCAAAACTTGATACAAATTGGGGCACCCGGAACGGCCAATTGAATGGGGAGCATGATAATCAACCATGATACTTGGAGTAGAATCAGTAGAACCCTCTTTGCAGACGAAGCCACCTGATATTCCGGGATAATATGATGTTATCTATAACAACCTAAAATCAAAATTTATCCAACATCATCTTAAATCATCTAATCCATATTCATCTATAATAATCTGTATTCATCTATAATCATCTATACTTGTGTAGACTAGTCCTTTATCATCCATAAGCATCTATAAGCGTCTAAGGCATAAGAATTTAGAATCTGTCATTCATCTAGATAGAATTCTGGCCTCCACAGCTGAAATTTGAAGATTCTCTGGTAGTTAAAGTGGTTCCACTAGGTTCGGAGTTCAGTGTTCGACCACCCCGGGGGCTTGGGAGCCCCTGCGCGAAGTAGTCGGTCCTGAGGATTTCCTCAGTGACCCGTGGCCGTTGTCCCAGCATCTTTGAAATATGACCCAATTTTTTGCGGTTGGCACCGGCCGAACCGCACGTGGCTGTTTCTGGAACTTCAGTGAAAGCCTCTTGGCAGCCTTGGCATCTGGGTGTGGTGGGTGCATTGGGCCGGTTTTGGTTGTGTTGGAACTCTGGGCCCCCCATCTTAGGGCTACGTCAGTCTCACTTCCGCGCTCCCTTTCTTCCAACCATACGCTGGTCCTTTGAAACATGATAAAGCATGATAACATGAAGCGGAGAACTCCCGGAGAACCTTCAAATCACACGGAAATTATGTTGTCTGTTCGTAGGGTTTGGACTCATTCATGAGGATAAGGTACAGGAGGGAAATTCATGGGAAACCATGTTTATCCATGTTTTTCCTATCAACAATAGAACGTCACACTTGAATACATTGCTACCTCCCTGTGTTTTTCGTGGTCAAACTGTGGTTTTTCACTTGTTTCCTAGAGGTGTTCCATGCAGAAAAATTCCATCCATGGGAGTGGCTCATCCCAAGGCACTGACGCTCCAAAGAAGCCACCTGGGCGCTGGCGACGGCGAAGGTTTGAAGGTCAAATGTGCCCAGCTGAAAGGCTTAGAACTCAGAACATGTCGGATTTTGGGGAAAACGTGGCATGCTGCAAGTCATCCACAATTTAGTTTGATGATTTTCCGATAAAATCATTATAATGGATCTCCGGACGGTAAACTTTGGGTGAATTTGGTGAAGATGTTGGTTTTTGCTTTCGGCAAGTTTTTTAAAATGAATCATTTCTATGGAGATTCTATGTCATGTCGTGTCTCACTGTCTCACCATGAAATTTGGGGGTTGCCTGCGGTCAGCCATGCAATTCTCTGGCCTATCCAACATTTGTATCCAATCCTCGCCTCAACTGGGAAGACTTGCTGAAAAGGCCCGTGATGTTGAAATGATCCACTGAAATGCCCAAAGGTAAATGATCCTTAATACCAACCATTTTTCTTAAATGCTGGACTGAAAATGTTCATCATGTTAATAACGCCAGATGGTCCATCATGTTGACATGATTCAGGGACTCTGGGCAGCATTTGGCGTGCAATAATGGCTATTAGCAGTGCCCAGGCAGATGTCGTAGAGGCCACTGCGGGGTATCTCACCCGAAGGATTTCGGTGAGGGTCCAGTAGAACATTTGTTTGGATGGGCTAATGGAGCCGACGGCAATGCAAATGTTCCCCAGTTTCCCAAGAATTTGATGTGGTAAATTCCGAATTGGATGTTCTGAATGTTAAAGTAGAAATCAAGTGTCACTTTTCTCCTGCCCATCTGAGCAGTACATGGCACCTTGTCTTGGCCGACAGCACCCCCCCCCCGATTTCATGGCAGCGGGTCACCAAGACAACGAGTCATGTTGACGGCGGTATAGAGTCATTCCTGCAAGTCTTGCGCCCAGTGTGCGATGGTAGGTCCAAAGAAGATCGCCCAAAATACTGCACTGGATTAAGGGAAAATCTGCAGGAACACCCTAGCCATCCCTAGCCTATAATTGATAGTTAGTCAAAACCATGTGTCCTGTAAACTTCCCCTTGCAATCCAAGGATGATGCTTTAACAAGAGTACACTTGGCCTTTGCTGGTTTGAACATGTTTGGACCTGCAATGCCAGCCTTCGCTGTTCTATCAATCTATGGACGAGAGAGGGAACGAATTTCATGGCTCTGGGTTGTTTGGCCATAGTGGTGACTGAATGCCAATGAAAAAGCAGAACAAAAGCAGAACAAGGGCCCTGTCATCTTCAACCAGGCACGACGACCGCAAACTTTCCAATTCACGCATGTCATAGGCTGACCTCTGGGGCCTGAGCCCGTAGGCCGTAGGCCGAAATAGGCTGAAGATTTGGGCCTTAGAGGAGGAAGTGAAGTGGAAGTGAAGTGGTGAACTGTTTCTGATGGTTTCTATTTCTTTGACCTATGCTGCTATGCTAGATCTTGTTTGCTGCTCCCCAGGTGCTATGATGCGCATGGTGACAACGAGGGAGTTGAAGATGACCACTATATAGATCTGTGATGAAAGTTGGAGTTTGCAGCTCCTTATGATGACCAGATTTCAAGTGTGAAACCCCAGATTGTGCGGATCTGGCACTGTTTGCAAATTTTGCAAGTGATGGGACGGGATGTTAGTGAGGCAGATTCTGAAGAGCTATTGCTTCCCCCTCAATGGGCTGATACGACGCAAAGGCTCCTTGTAGTTTTAGGCACTTTTGCTCCTGTGGCGTCTCTTGTCATCTTTGGCCATGGTTGTGGGCGTGACACCATGATTTCATTCCAGGAGCTTCCCGCAAAAAAAATGGAGGAATCATGAGGAATCAATCGCTGCTTTGCTGTTTGTTTACCTAATCGTAGGGTTAATTCCTTTGGTTTCCGGATTTAGACCTCACCACGTTGTTCAAGGTCTTGAAGACTCGTGGATTTGTTGCGACCATTATACCATATTATATATATATACGTATACGTATATATATATATATATTCTTAGAAAAAGAAAAAAACACAAAAAGAACAAATTGACAAAACTATTTGAAAACCTGATTTCACTCGTTTTTGCAGGTCAAAGGTGTGACAATGGCCCTGGATGGTTGATGTTTACGCAGCCGCTGGCCTCCTGTTCATTAATTGATCATCCCCATTCCCACAACCAGAAGGGCAAGTGGCGACACCCGGAGCCGGAACACGGAGGCTGTGCGGGGATGTGGCAATTACATGCAATTTGCGATTTGACACCCAAGATGAATGGGATCTTTAATGGGCTTTCAATAGGATAGAATGGAGATGCTGTATGATACAGGGGCATCATTGGAATATAATATAATCAGGAGACATGCCATGGGGGTACAATCGAACCGGGATACATAAATACAGCAGGATATACAGTCCTATCCCTATGTCTTTGGTGGTTTTATGGTGATTTCTATAAATAGTGGAACTTAATGGAATATGTACTGTAATGGGATACAATGGGATTACAGAGCCAGCAATCGCCAACAGGACCCAACAACACGCAACACCCCCGAGAAACCGCTGGATTTTGGAGTCGCTTTTTCTGAGTCGAACCTATACTATTATCCAACTTAATATACAATTGATAAATAAATAAATAAATATATATATATAATCAAAAATCAGAGATATCAATAGGCTACCCCAAAGTCAAAGGCCCCACAATGAAGATATTCAGTACGTACCAAACCAGGTTTCTGGACGGCTTAGTGGTTGTCGGTAGGCAGAAGGGATTACTAATGTAGCAAGGGTTTGTTGGACCGCCATTATATAGGTTATGCCTGCTCAAGAATCGAGAATAGTTTGGAACTGACCCCTGCAGAAAAAGAACAAGAACGCAGATTATTTTTAAATATCGTGAAATAGCAACCGCCTGTATAACTTTATTCACATACATCTTGTTTGTACAGACGTCAGCCAAGAACTGCATTCTCAAATGTATTTAATGGCTGCTGCTTTTGTTCCTACCGGTGCTCTAAGCATCTCAGGACGGAATCCGCTGTAAACATGGGGGTTTCTGAGTTTCTGGGGATTTTTCATATCCATGGCTTACCACGGATAGAACTGACATGACATTCCTGCCACATTTGCCCGCGCTGCAACGAATTCGTTTGAGCCGGGAGACGTCCGTCGAATGAGATGAGACAACCGGGATGATCCAAATGGGGGATTCAACGGGAAAAATGGGACATGACACGGATATGGATCGGCCAGGGATCATTCCAGCCGTGTGTTTTCCATGAGGCATGGTGTCATACCAAGCTCAAGCCTGAATCTCGACCAAGAAAAGTCCGACTGGGCAAGACAGTGGACATGTATGTATGTATACTGTAACATGTATATATATATAGATGTATAATTAATGATTTTTTAAATAATATATAGACATATGTTATAGATGACCTTGCAGATTTTGGATACAAATCCATCTTTCTGCCGTTGCTCTTCCTCAACAGCAACAGATATTGCACTTCTTTGAGCAAAAATGATGACAACAGCTTGCCGAGGCACTTAACAAATACTGATGCGTTAAACCATGTTGAGAAACCATGCGCTCCAAAGGAAGTTTGTTGTGCTTCTGATTGCGAGACCCGCAATGACTCTTTGCTACCATTTTGTGTAAAGTGATGAGCCTTTCTCAGTTATAGGTGGGCTGATGCCAGCGGATTATACATGATTAATTAATATTAATTATACCTGTTGACTGTAATAAATAAACCTCGGGAAATCATCTATACATGGGTTATTTTGCAAAGCTATGTTGGATTACAAGAAAGTTTTTTCGCTGCAGCCATTTGTGCTTACCGGATCAGGCAGCTATTCACGAATCAATTCAGCAGGATGGCAGGTTCAGATCTGGTCCTTCGGCTCAAGCATCTTGGCATTGCGAATTTTGGGGGTTGAAACCGTTGTTGAAACATATTGAAACACGTATGAAAAGAGGCTGCAAGATCAACATAGCCTGGAATCTCAGAGGGTCCATCAGCAACACATCAGCGTAAGATAGCGTGAATTTAATGTCAGGAATTTAATGTCAGGAGCCAATACTTGGAATTGTCGGTCCCACTACTTACATCATGCATGATTTTTGCGAAGTTTGGTTTGACTCTATTACAACCTGTACTGTACCACGCATACTTTCGCATCAAATATAACATAGAACATGAGCAATGTAAATGCTGCCGGATAATCTACTTTAGAATAGATAATCTACTTCAATCTACTTCAGCCAACTGATCCGTCGCTTATTGTTGTTTAAAGGTGTTTATGATATACATGACAAGACAATCATGGGACCTTACTTTTGAACCGAAACCCAAAGGTGTTTCTTGACCTTGATTTCTTCTACCATCTTCTACTCGTACCATACCATTAAAAGTATCTGTTTTAGTGTTTGCAGCAATATCCTCCACATCTTCCATGTCATTCGGCTCTATCATATTTGTTCAGTTCATATCAGTGATATCTCCAACATCTCTGTCGCTCATGCTGTCAACACGTGGGTCCCCTGTCCTTTCCTCGTTCCCCTGGGTCCCGTGGGTCTAACGAGGTGCCGGTGCCGGCTGTCAGGTACAGCAAGACCTTTATCGATGCCTCAGTGGAGGAAGTCGACTCGCCGCTAGGCGACTGCTCACGTCGCTCCTGCTCGGCGCCTCCGGGCAGAGCTGAAGAGCCCTTCCTGGTCTCGGAAGAGGAGTACCTCAACAACCTCACTGAGATGCTGAAGGACGCTTTGAACATCTTGAAAATATGGCTGAAGCAAAACAAACATATGGCAAAGGTGATGAACAACGACCTTTTGAAATCTGTATGAATATCTATCTAACATAGTGTCTTTTTTATATATATATATAATATTTAATAGTGTATACATGTGTATATATACATATATGGTATGTATGTATGTATGTATGGATGGATGGATGGATGGATGGATGGATGTATGTATGTATATATATATATAGTATGTATTATGTATGTGTCTATATATGTGTCTATATATGTGTGTGTGGTCGTGGTTATAAATATAATCTAGAGTTATTATAGCACCACCCGAAAAATAGATTTTGGTCGAATTTGGTAATATCATTCGTCAATGTTATATATAAAGCGGTGAACTTAACCCCTTTTCTGGGTGTTGGACATTCTGGACAGGTAACTCAAAGAAGAGGTAGCTTACAGGAGAAGCAGTTCAGATAGCTCAGAGAAGAATTGGCTGAGAGAAGACAACGCTCAGAGAAGAGGAGGCTCACTCAGCACATCTTTTTTCCATCCTTTTACTCATGCTGGCCAATTCAGCTCTTCAACCATTCGGTCATTCCTTCAGTCAATCATTCAGACACTGATGTCAGCAGGGCCGTCGTGCTGCCTGAGAGGACACAAGCCCAGTCTCAATGCCAAGCCTCTTGGCACGTGGAACGCAATCATCTATCCCTATGGGCCTATGGGCCCAAGCTTTGTGAGAAGCTACTTAACCACCTAAATCATACCCAAATACTTCCAGAGAATGCACTTGGTTGCTTAGGGCATATAGGGATCGCATGTTTTTCCCAAGATTTGTGAACTTTAAGAGTTGCTGGATGGCCCCTTGGATTATTCTCATCGCACCCATGTACGAAATAGACGCACACAATAGCTTCAGTTTGGGTCTCACTAGAGGGTCAGATAGAAGTTTGGAAAACTTATTCGGGACCACTGGGATGGCAATCTCCCCGTTTTTTTGACGCAAAATTTCCAGCCCCAGGCACAGATGATTGCAAAATAAACAAGTGTTGGTTGTAAAGTTCTGTAAGGTAGAGTTGCTTGATCAAAGTAAAACTTAACTTATGATGTACACGACATTCATATTTCTTCATATGGGTAATTACCCATCCAGTGTATACACAAAGGATACTTTATACCATGCTTCCAACCACCCAACAACACGCAAGCAGGTGCCTGGTCGCATGGCCGAGGCACAGACATCTCCCCATGTTTGATGGCCTTGAGTGAACTGAGCCCTGCTGGACTCGCGGCATCCCCGGTGTCCCCAGCTGGGGAGGAGGAGCCAACGGCGCCGTCGCCACGGCTCTCCTTGCAACTCCTTCCAAGTCCTGGCACCTTAGGACATCCAGAGGCGCAAAATGGTGACGGATTGGGGACGGCATGGGACGGCCATGTGATTGAACATGGATAAAAATGAGAGAGTGATACCGAGAAAGAAGTCATTGAAAGCCCCCACTAGGATGGGAAAATATGAGAAATGATTGTGAACATGAAAGCAGCGGGTGCAGAGCCATCTGGTCAGATGAGAGATCAACAATTGCACACGGCTGTGGCGCGAAGTGCACTTGGAAGTGAACATGTCAAAAACACCTCGGGTTCGGATGGGTTCGGACCATTTGATCTCTTAAAAAAGCACACGTGGCTGTGGGGCAAAACAAAGCTCCGGAGCCGGAGCACTATTGGAAGTTGAGATGTTCAAAAAGTGCACGCGGTTGTGGCGCGAAGCGCGTTTCGAAGTCAAAATGTCAAAAGAACACCATGTTCGGACCATTTTTGGATGTTGAGCTGTCGAAAAAGTGTATGCGGTTTTGGCTCGAAAAAGATTTTGAAGTCAAAATGTTAAAAGCACACCGCGTCCGCACCACTTACAACGGCTTGAATAGATTGATTGATCGATCGATCGATCGATAGATAGAGATAGACCGTTAGATAGACAGACAGATAGACAGCTAGACTTGGCAGCTAGACAGATGGACAGATAGATAGAGAGACAGATAGACAGACAGACAGACAGACGGACAGACAGACAGACAGACAGACAGACAGACAATTAGATAGACAGATAGGAAGATAGACAGGTAGGCAGGTAGGCAGACAGACAGACAGACAGGACAAGACAAGACAAGACAAGACAAGACAAGACAAGACAAGACAAGACAGACAGACAGACAGATAGATAGATAGATAGAAGGAGAAATAGATAGATAGAGACGGACAATGAGATAGAAATGGATAGCGAGAGAGAGAGAGAGAGACATAGATAGAGAGAGAGAGAAAGAGAGAGAGAGAGAGAGATCGAGATTGATGGTCAGAGAGATAGGAAAACAGATAGATAGGCAGACAGATAGATAAAGACAGGGAGAGAGAGAGAGAGATTGAGACTCAGCCACTCACCTCTCCTATATAGTTTCCTGTCATTGAAACTTCCGCCAGCGCTTTGTGCAGTACTACTGGTTTGCATTGAACCTTCAAAGCTTCTTAGGCATCCGTAGGCAAGTTTTGTTTGATCTGCGCTTCTAATATACGCATATCAATATCGAGAGAGGGATTTATATATATATATAATATATATCTCTCTGTGTGTGTATGTATCTATATATATATAAATAACAACTGACTGTTCATTTTTTGATACACCTATAATAGACGCAGTTTTGACCCTCGTTTGCACACCGTAGAAACGCCCCAAATCTGCTGGTCCACCAGTATTCCTTTGTTCCGACAGTATTTGCAGTTTTTTCATCATCCCCCTGTGCAGGTTTGCCGACGTCCTTGTATGCATTTCCAACTGGGCCATTGTATGAATGGTTGCCTGGCAACGTGGGATGCCGTAATCTCTTCAATGGTCTTGGTGTAGAAGGGAGCAAGGACAAGGAGTAGATTGAATAGACCGATGTAAATTGCTCTATAATTATTTGTTTTGATGTGTGACTTTCCATTTTTCAACTGGGATTTCACAGATTTCGTTTTTGCCCGAAATGTAGATGTTGGTCTGAAGTAACCTCCAGCCGTGAGAAAACAATGAACATCATCTAGATTCATGGGCCAATCCAAACCGGATTTTGACCAATGAAGCTGGACATTTACTTGCTCATATTTAGCTGAATTTTTGTATTTTTTTTTTCGGGGGGGTGACCTGAGATATGTTTTTGTATTTTGTTTTGAGGCTAAGCTATTTGAGAATCTCGTTTGCTTCAACAATGACTGATTTCGAATACCTTTTGCAACCCTAACTTGTGACATCTAAGACATGTACGGAACATGTTGTTTGTGTCCCTTGTCCTTTCCTTTTCAAAATTCATACATATTCGTACATATTTTTCACTTTCCATGGGCTCTTTCAGTTTTTCTCGTCGAGGCAGCTGAAGAGGTATTTGAAAATATTGCTGGTTTATTCTTATTTCTCGTTTGCAATTTGGGTCAGTAGCTGCCAAACACGACAGCAGCATTGCTCCGTTTGCAATGGCTTCGATCCAAGTGGCTTGCCTTGGGATTGAAATGGGGCTCACAGTTCCGTATTTCATGTCATCGCCCAGAGCTGGGAACTTGGTTGCGCACACCATGGGGTGCTGACTGCACGATTCTAGCCAAAGCGAATTGACAAGCGTCTGAGCAAACAATGAAATCACAAAGCCCGTTCACATGCAAAAAAAGCTTCCAAAAGCATCAAAGGACAAAGGCGGGCTCTGGAGCAGTCAGACGTTGGCTTCAGGAGGGCGGTGGCTGTTTGGCTGCTTCGGCTCAGCATGTCCACGCAGCGAGGAGGGCTGTTTCGGCCCTGCGTCAGACTCGGGCCCGCTGCACCGGCCTTAGCAGTAGCTGTTTCAGCCAAGCCCTTGCAGCATCAGGCAAGCTGCTTCCGGCTGTCAAAGCTGCTTTGGCTTATTTTGACGCTGTTCCGACTTCTCACTTTGAAGCTGCATTACTTACTTAGTCAGTTTTTGTACATAGCAGATCGTGATGGACTTATCGCGAAAATAGGAATTGGCTGGGGTGGGTTGAAGCGTCAGGGTAAAGACTTTGGGTTTCTGGTCGCTACATGGAATCTACCAATGGGTTGAATCTAAGAGATGATTGCCCACAAATATTGGTAGATTCAACGACAGCTTTGATTTGGAGGCTTGGCTACTCAATATGTGCTTTTTGTCCTCTCCTTATTAGGAGCATCAAAAAAAAATCAACGGACCTCGAATCAACGGGTGGGAATGTCCTCTCCTTAGGAGCTTCGGGGTTGTCCTTGAACCTCGTAAGGGGAGGACGAGAAGGGGACGAAACTGAAATGAGTTTTTCAAAGGCCTTTGTCCCATTGTTGTCCTCTCCTTAGAAGCCTTGGGGTCGTCCTTGAACCCCCTAAGGGCAGGACGAATTGTCCTCTTCTTAGGAGCAATGTCTGAGATCCGCGTCGCTTCAGGAGCCTCGGCTCAAGCACTTCACGGAAGCTTGTGGCTGAAAACTGGCCACGCCATCTCTACGCCAAAGAGGCGGCAGCTGTCTCGGCTACTGTAGCTGTAGCTGCTTCGGCCACTTAGCTGCTTCGGCTTTTGGTGACTGCTTTGGCCACAAGTATGCCACCGCGGCATCGACCAAAGTCAGATCAGCTGGTGTGGTGGGATGCAAAAAAAATGACAAGTGGACTGGAAAAGTGGATAAACATGCGTTGCCGGCAGCTGCAGACGCCCTGTAGACTCAGTTCAGCAAACAGCAATTGATTTTTAACAGGTGCAACCAAGATTTAAAAAAGCTCACACATGTCAATTTCAATGTGTTCCTTCTGCAGCTGTTTCAGCTCAAGAACGCTGACTCGGAATCAGCCAGCTGTGCACTCTGTAGTGCGAAGGACCCTTTAAATCAAGCAAGCTGAAAGAGATCTGCGCTTAGTCCAAATACGGATAGTTGAAACTTTGGGGTTCGAAAAGCTGCTTCAGAAGCACCGCAAGTTGAATGCAACAAGTGGGGGCCTCGTGGGCCGCCCATGTTGCATATTAAGAAAGAGGAGCCAAAGATGACTTTGCCAAAGCTGAAGTCGGCTTGGTAAGCCAACTGTGGCTGTTTCAGCCAAGGTTTGTGTCGGATTTGTTGGATGGTGGCTGGTTCGGCCACCAACAGGTCTGTTTCAGTTCTTGATCCAATTGCCTCGATCAAAACGCAAAAATATATTTCCAAAACTCGTCTGCTAGCGGCTAGGGAAAAGCGTGGCCACGGCTCTTGAGATAATTTTCTCAAGTTGAGCACTGCGTCGCGTATCTTTGTTGCGACTAAGTTGCAGTCTTAAGTTTGTGTTGGTCTTTTACACTCTACTTCAAGGTTGTTTATTGTGAAGCCCTCTTGTTTTGTTGCGGCAAAGTTCAAGGAAGAAAGACGTGAATGATATTTGTTTTTCTCGTTTGCACCTCTTCCTTTTTGTTGTATTTCTCGTTGACGCCCCCCCAAAAAAACAAAACTGCAGCTAAATATGGGCAAGTTTTTATAATCACCAAGAGATGGGGATTAAAAGCCAACTCAGATGATAAACCTGGGGATTTGATCAACAAAAAAGGTGGGTTATAGTTATACCCTACCGGAGGCTATCCACCTCTTAGAATCACCCAGGCCCCCCACTTACATAGATGGGACCATGTAGGAATATGGGACCCCAACCTTGCGGGGTCTGACCCCCCCCCGGCTGTTGGTATCACCGGTGTCACAGGTACAGAAATCAAAATTATACCGACTCTTCGGGTCGCTAAGTCGGAAATCCTTTGATGATGGCTTCATTGGGTAAACTTTGAATCTGCAGGAAAGACACTGATTGGTGGCTGAATAATTGTCTATTCAGCTGTGAAACTACTAACTAGTCATGGGGTTTTCATCATATAATCCCATTTCCCTGATCATCAACACTTCAATGGACCCAAATAGCACTACTAAACCACGGTTTCTGGGGTGTTTAATATTAGTGTGATAGGATTATTCAGTAATTATGGTTTTATCCCTTTGGGTTTTCCATTTTATCCTAGTCTAGGTTTTGTTTCCCCAATGATCTAAGGAAGTGATTGCAACTTTTGCCACGCCGCCCATCCAGAGAAAGCAGCCAAACTGGACAAGAAGCAGAGAATGTTGCTGCAAACTTTGAGCAATCAAGAGTTCGCCTGCATTTGCTTAGGCACGTTTTGATGGTTGGTGGTTTCGATCTATATATATATAATATATATATAATATATAATATATATATATATAGGTACAGATATATTCGGATGATGTGTTATATGTGTACATGTATGTAATCTAACTTAATGTGACGCAGTGCAATGTAATTCAATGTATACAATGTACTGCAATGTATACAATGTATTTAATTTACTGTAAAGGTAATAAATGTACATGTAATGTACTGTAACGTAACATAATGTAATGTAACGAAAGGTAACGTAATGTAATGCAACGTAGTGTGCTGCAATGTATTGCAATGTAATTTAGTGTATGTATGTACTGTACGTAATATATGGCAATATAATGTAAGCATTGTAATGACTTAATGGAATGTAATGTAATCTAATGTAATATATGCAATGAAATATAATCCAACCCAATCTACGATCTAACCGAATGGCATGTAATCCAATCCAATCCAATCCAATCCAATCCAATGTATATAATCCAATCTCCAAACAAACCGAATTTAATGCATACAATGTAAGTATGCATGTATGAATGTACAGCGTCTATATACATATATATATATATATCATTATTCCAGGTTGAAACATGTTAAAACCACCAACCAGCGGTGTTTTTGCTATTATGTTATTCGTTGCAGCCATGTTTAACGAAACGGAGAACGACGATCTGACGGAGACTTTTGGGCCATTTTGGGCCTTAGCAGAGGAGGCAAAATCAAGAATGATGACAACTGTCAACAATCGGGGAATTTCACAAAACAGAGTTGGTTGATGACTAGTTCGGGGGTTATATTACCCAAAAAACTGGGGATCATGTTTGCTCTTGAGAATTCCCGTTTAAAAACAATTTTTGGGAATTTTCCAAGAGGTTGACTTCGGGTCAATACTCTTGTGGTGTTCAAAGGATCTATTTGTCCAAGGGGGGGAGCAATTATACACCATTATACACCAAATCGCCCTGTTGTGGGGCATCGGTCCCGACACTCACTATGTGCAAGTCACATACAATACTTGATACACTAAATTCGCATGTACGCAACATGCATATACATACCTGTATCCTCGAAAAAACACAAATAAATGCTCATTTGCGAGATTTCTGCTTTTTGAGCGGTTTTTCTCCACATGAGCGTAATTGCACCACTTTTGGCATTTTTGCACTTGGTGCATTTTAAAGCCAAAAATATGAGCGTATTTTGCCGGGAAATAAGCGTAAATACCCGTCCGTCAAGAAACAAATGCGCGTTTTCTAGTTCAAGTGAGCATAAAAAGTCAGAACGAGCGTAAATCCAAGTGAAAACTGCTATGAGCAGAAAAAAGTGCTAAATGAAGATCCAGGTATTTAATCATATTTAAAAATGATCCAATACTATAGAAATACTCACGAAACGCATAGCTTGATGACCAGCGGCTGGCCCCATGGCCCCAGGTTCAGCGCCATGATTCTTCAGTACGTCCAGCAACGTTTGGCACCCGCTTCAGAGGCGGCCAAGGCCGGGAACAGCAACCTGGGCCGTGCAGGGTGCGACTGAAGCGAGAGGAACATGTTGATTTCATAGATGAAAAAAATGATTTTACTATGAGAAATGGATTATTACGAAGCATGAAACATGTTGTTAGAATGGAAAATTACAGTAAAAAATACTTAGTACCAGCTACTTCCAAAGGATTTAACCAACAAAACCAGGGATTCAGACAACAAGTATGAGAGATTTAACCAGCAATGATGGAGGTATCATGCGAGAGAAAAGCAAGGTTTTACCAGTGAACGGTGGACATTTGCTTGTTGATTGCGTACCTTTCCTCCATCATATTAAAAGTCCCTACATGACAATATTCAATGCTAAACTGCTAAACCAGGGGTTCTCAGGTGGTAGTGTTTGGCAGAAAGTACTGCGAAAAGGATCAATTTTGTAAGGTTGAAATGTCGTTTGAAATCTGGTTGTAGAATTGTAGATGGTGCGAGGTTCTCAAATGAGGTGTAATGGTATCTTGACTTCAAATGCTCAACAATTTTTGGGTCCACCCAAAAAACGAAAGGATTCACCAGACATTGGACTCAAAAGTCGCAATATTTGAACTTGGAGATCAACCTTGTCCATTTTTGCATTCCCAAGACCAATTCTCAGGGGTTGGTGCCTCTGTCAGGAATGGATAAGATCTGCTGAACAAATGGTGTTGCCGCAATGCGGCATCCCCAATATAGGATAATATGATAACTTGGTTCATAACCACAAGGACTAGCATAGGTTTTAAATGCATTTTAAAAATTTGGGAGCCTGGTGTTGCATTTTGTTTGAGGTGGCAGCAGCTGATCTCATCGAGTGCCTTCGCGAAAAGGCCGCAGAAGCCTCTTTGCCCACGCTCCTGGAATCTCAGCTGAAAAGTCCGCTGGGGTGGTCGCCCCATGATGGAGCGGTCCAAACTGAGATGTGGGGATGTACAACAATTGAGGAGTATGGGTTGGGGGAGAGGTGAACATCCATCTGACTACCAGCTATTTGAATACAGAAACCAGATTGATTGGCTTCTTGCTTCCGATATGTGTGCTGGAAGAGTTGCCAATCCTATTTTTAAAAATCTCGCCATCCCGATCGTCCACTAGTGATGCCATAAGGTTTGCCCAGAAATTGAGGTGTATGAAAGGACCCCAAGAAATCCTTGGAATTGGGGCTGACCAAGTTTCAGACACAGCAATACAGATCCAGGCTTCTTTGTTACTGGAACCCAGAACTGAGGAACGGGAGCAAAAGAACCTGCAAAAAACCTTTGCCCGGATGAACGTGTCCAACCTCATTGGTTCTTCGATTGCACGGGATTGGTCGCAGTTGGAGGTCCCAATTGAAGGTCCCCGTTGGCTGATATCATTCCTGTTGTGAGAACATGGGGCTGAAAGCAACCAGATATTTGAGAAGTTGTGGAGTTGCGGCCACAAGAACTGAGTGGCTGAGTGGCTCGCGCAGCGCCTAAAGTGTGCTGACCCACAAGTTCTCAAAGAGTTGCTTGCCAGAAGTGGATGACCCAACCGAAAATTATCGAAACTATTGGAATTCCCCGGGGCCCCATGAATTTAAGTACTGGGCTATACTAGGCTGCTGTTTCGATTGTTGGGATATGTGGCTAACTAAGCTGACTAAGAGTATTACTGACTGTCTTTTAATAGGCATAAATAGGCCAGTTTAATCCAGTTTAGTGCTAAATACACGCAAATACCAGAAATCATGATTTTGTATGAGATTTCTTTTGCGGTAAACTCATGAGTTCAAACATCATAACCGTAACCAGGTTCACGGGATTTCGAGACGGCGTGATATGATGAAGCCTCAAGGATCTAAAGGGGACTGGTATGAAAGACTTTTAACTTTTAACCTTATCCAATACATTCCGGCTAATTCTGGGCTGGCTATGGAAGATGTTCATTGACAGCTGATCTTCCTCTTAGTTTAGTTGGTCGGAGGGTGCATCCTCTCAATTGCTGGCAGTTGCCGGCCTGTTTGGGGGGCCATTGGAAACTCCGCATGATAGAGACCAATGTAATGGACTGACCCAAGTTGGATGATTGAGTAGTACAGATAGCCAGGGGATGCCAAGGGTGCAGTTCCCTCAAGCACTCAGATCTTTCACTTGAACTTTGATTTGCCCTTGGAAGGGAGTTGCTGGAAAGATTATGTCAGGAGCATTGAATATAAATATTATATATATATACCCTGACCTTCCAAAATGCCTGGGAAACGAGTACTTTCGAACAAAGTGCCTGCGTTACTGTAAAGTGCCATCTTGACTTTAAGCCAAATCACCTCATTGTTCTGTAGACAATTGGCAAGAACTGTGCCATTACCCTCATGTTCCGCTTCAGCAGAGGGCTGTACGCGAGGGACTCTTCAACCACATTTTCTATTACCACAAAGGGGTGTGGCACTAGACAGCTATGAGTGGATGGGCTGCCAGTTGCATGAGGAAATCTTGCAATTTTCACGCGCTTGGAAATGACCACAAAATCACTGGTTTTTCACTAACTTTCACATCAAAATCTCGGGTTTGTCACGCACTTATCTCGCTTTTTTGTTGACATCACCAGATTCTCATTGAAGAGTGAAATCAATCGCTGATGCTCCCCCCAAAAAAGTGATCATGGATGCATGGTTTGATATGGTGATGAATAATATTCTCCAGGTGATCAATAGTGATCATTTTGAGCCTTTCCCACGTGAGCCATCTAATGATGCACAGGGAATGGAGGCATGATCAATCAACCAGTTTTGAAAGTATATACTTTGTGAAAAGGCTGTGGGAAACGGAGCACTTTGCAAAGGCGCCAGTTAAACGAGAACTGAGAAGTTCAGGGATATATATATATATATCAGGAAGGCTAGCGGTAGCTAGCTGGAGTTACTCTTGCTTCAGCAAGGGGAGGATCAGGTCTGAGTCCCACACTGATTTTTCATTCGAAGCCCTTCCCCCCCTCCCCCCCAAGCTCCCGGGGCATTTTGAAGCGGTGTTGGAAGCAGATGGTCGCGGGCTCAAATCCTGCCAGGTCTCTAGGCAATCTGTGTTCAGCATATCAAAATCCCATCAAAATCCCATCATGTCTCCAGGCTCATATGAACCTTAGCTTTCTTTCACCCCCTTGGGCTTCAAGTATATACAGATGTTATGTTTTTAATTTGTATATGTACAGTGTATGTTCGTTCATTGCTGTTTCACAATGGTTGATCAGGATTGGGCTTGGCTTGCCTTAGCTTGCCTTGTTTCGCCAAGTTCATGATCTAGATGGGCAAGGATTCGTGTACAGGAGATTGTTGCCCTTACCCCCCAAACTTCCCAAAGATCTTATGGTGAATATTGAAACTATCAAAAGCCTTAAACAATTTGTGGCAAATTATCTATGCATGGGTCACCTTTTTCTATTCAAGGTGGTTTGGGTTCGCGATTTGGCCAATTGTTGGAAACATTGCTCTTCTTGACCCTGATGGTTCTGGTCCATTTTGTGGTATACATCCAGGTAAATTATAACAGCCTCACTGCAACCTCACTGGAATGACAGTAAGGGGTAACTATTTCGAACCACGCTTATTTCAGGTCAAGGAAGTACTATAGATTTATTGTAACTATAGCGGTAGATTGATAGATGATTTTTTGTTTGAAATGAATATAGCCTGCCACATTAATATGTATATATATATATATATAAATCAGTAAAAATAAGCAAACACATATATTTGGCATATATATATATATATATTTGGTTTTTCCGAATCCGAGTTGCTTAAACATGTTTGGCCAACATGTCTTGTTTGCAACCACTGGGGCAGTACAGAGTACAGATCTAAAATGGCCACGCACCCCTCAAAATGATTCGGAATTGCCCTGTTGATGTCTGCTTGTAAGCATACATGGAAATGAAGATACGCCTCCAATCTGACCTATGTCGGTTGCTGCAGTAGATACAGAAGTGCCCTCTCCATTTCAAATTCATTTTTTATTTCCCACCACAATACTGTTGGAAACCCATCACGTGCGTAGTCAGAACTTCTCGCGGATATTCCAGAAAATCGTCTGCAGATATCTCTTAAAGACTCATTTGAGGCTAGTTGAATTCGAACACGGCGATGGGATTTTCAGGCCGATTTATTTCACCTAAGGTGATGAAGACAGCTACGTTCCACGTATTTCCATGGCCATGGAAAAACTGCGATGGAACTTTCTGACGGAGGAAATCTAAGCAGGCTGAGGCTGGAACCTGGGGAGTTCGAAACTGCAAAAATGAATAAATTATCTGAAAAAAATTAAATCGAATATGTTTTTCTATGTTTCTTTGTGGTCCATAATGAGGCAATCCATCTGCAGGAAAAAAAAGGTGCACGTCAGCAGATCTTATCCACCAAGGCAAATTTTGGAATTGCTCAGCTGTTGCTGGAGGTAGTGGTGGGTTCGCCTGTTAAATCAAAGTAAGGTGCTGATTGATTTTCTACGGATGAGATGCCAGAGTGCCGCAGCAGTTCGACTGTCGCGTGGTAAAAAACCTGACGCGTTATATAAAATGGAATATATATATATGGAATATTTACCAAGTTCAAACCATTGTTTGTTTCTTACTGTGTGCGTTTGTGTTAGAATTTGTTTGAGAAGTCTTAGATATATGCGTAGTAGCAACGTGATAACCATGTGTGTATGTCCATATGTTCAATAGGTTGGCCAGCAAACAGGGGGTTCGAGCTGGTTTGCACCTTGCGCGAACAGAGAGAGCTTCGATCTCATTGTGCAACAAACAGTGGTTGGTGGTTGTAGATAGCATGGCAATTCAGTAGCAATAGTCATAGCAATAACACATGCACAACAAATATGAAGCGCGGGGATGCGATACAAAAAAGTTGAGCGGCAGATTTGATCCGAATGGAGAGTTGGAACTCTGTTGGTCAAAGTTTGTTGGAGTTGCCCATGTTTCAGAGAAACTCCAGCGAAGTGCATTGCACTTCATTTGTTTTGTTGTTGCATTCCCGAAAGAAAAAAGATCCCTTTTTACTGATATTCAATACCTCCACACTGAAACTCGGTTTTGTATTGGATCCATTCATTTTGGGGTCCTGCACTGCTTGATTGTTCAAGTGTTTTCCAAAGGGGATGAATTAAATTAAACATCAAATTGGCCAATCTGACATTTCCATTTACATTTCCCAAAACGAAAAATCTGGAGTATATTTTTCCTATTTATGGGAGATTTAGGATGGTTTAGGAATAGGAAGAAAGGATGTTTCTTCTATTTGTTTGGGTGTTACTACACATCATACATCTAGATACACGTTTGATTTTCCAGTCGCCATGTGGGCACCATGATCGCGTCGTCAGGGGCAGCCTTGAGCTGCAGGACGAGCTGGTGGGGCATAGTCTTTCGCCGGGCATCCAGGAGAGATAGACAACAGCCTTTGTAGAGGCAGACTGCTGATGCATGCTGACGCCGACTGGGGCCAAAAACACTTGAGATTCACAGGGTGAATGTGGCTGTTCTTTGTTGAGCAACGGAGAAATCATGAGAAATCATGAGGAGGAGCTATAGATATCTATAGATTATGCTCTTAGGTGGCCATGGAGTATCCGAAGCCATTTGTTTGAAGTGAAATGAAGTCACTGAACATCGATGTTTGGGCCCATGCATGGATCGTACGTAGTGGATCCAGATCACATGCCAAAACCACGCATGTAATACAAGCGAAGCAAAGAGAACCTGCGTCATATCGAAGATTTATGCTTGAAATAATTGTTGGTTTCCATCCCTACCATAGGTTTATGTGCAGGACATGCGGATCAATACCACATGACTATACATGACATTACATGACTATGATATGGAAGTGTGCTGGGTAAGATACTCGATGTAATACTCGATAAGATTGATTAGATTGCGTTGATAGATGGACTTACGCACAAATTAGGCAGACTCTGAGATGGATCAGCAGATCCATCGATTGATCGGTGGCATGCAAGATTGCCGCAATATTATGTGGATGCTGACGGTATATGGATTTGGGAGGAATATGTTCGGAATGCTCACAATGCAGTATATAACAGTATAATACATTACATAACTAGTTCACCTCAGGTATCCTATTGCCACGTGTTTAGACAGCACATGGTTCTTAACTTCCGAACTGAGATAATGGCCATACTATATTTGGTTAATAATATGTATGATACATCACGATACCTTAGCGGTACAGATGAATACACATGACATAAATTACCATTACTTGCATCAAAGAAATATGGACCATACAGTTGACTGAAGGTAGTGGTATCAAAACTGCTGAACAGAAAATTTTGGGGAACTACCACAGGTGAGCAGCACTATACGACCAGTGGATCAGGGAACTTCTTGGCTTCGGAAATTCACCTTTTTGTGCCTCAAAAAAAAGGCGGCGGAACATCCACAAAAACTCTAAGAACACAGGGTGACATTTGATTACACCGATGACAAACGCCCTCTTGCTGCGTGAATTTATGTGTCAACTTGATGACTCAGAATCTCTTGTGATTGTGGATCATGTGGATCCATTTGAGGAATGTCCAGGTCCATGAGTCCATGCCTCGGTCACACATGTCCCACGATGTCACACGGGTGGCTGCAACGCAACGATCAATTGGAATATTTTGCCTTGGTACAGATGCGGAGGAGAGGCTGACTTCAGCTGTGTTGGCTCCGGGGTACTTACTTATGACTTGTCCCTAAAGAAAGGTGCCTTTACTCTTATTTGTATTTATTTATGATCAAATTATCCAACAATATTCTGATGAGACACTTGTTATCTTGTTTTGTTTGGGTCCTACCCATATTGGCGATTGTTGACGTGTTTTTACGTAAAGGATCCAAAAAATGCCTCACGTTGCAAGGCTATAATGTTAGGATCGCGCTGAAGTACCAACAAATTATTATTCTTCTCGTGCAAAGGCCTTGGGGGTTGAAATATGGTGGTTGCTCAGCATAAATATTTTGAACAAAATACCTTTGCGATCATGTATCTTTTGCAGCCATGGCAATGAAATTTGAGAAAGCCACCTTGCCGACCCAAAAAAACAAGTTGCAACAGTTCGCTCTACATTTCCTCATACTTCCATGTATTGTACTTCCCCTAATATCACCAGTTGTTGAAATGTCGACATGTTTGATATTCTTGGGGGGGCTATGTTTTTGATGTTTTGTGAGGACTACGCCCTTTTTGATATTCTGCCGGGGCAACCTTTTCTATAAGAGGAGGACCTTTTCGATATTCTGCGGGGACGATGTTTTGGACCAACACATTACCCTTGCAAAGACAATCTGCGTCATGGATTTTGTTTTTGACATGGTTTTCCTCAAAGGACGACCTTTTGGACCAAAAGGTCACTCTGGGAATCATCTGTGGGACAATCTGCGGCTAGGACTTGCAAAAAAAAAAGGCGCAGAATATCCCCAGGGGCGACCTTTTGGACCAAAAGGTCACCCTTTTGAGCTTGCTAAATTCTAATCGAGATCCACGACCCAGATTGTCTCAAAATCAAAGATTGGCAGATTGTCCTTTGAGAATTTGAACATACCAAATCCACGTTTCAAACAAATTACTTCAAATCATTAGATGAAGTCGCAAAATATCTCTACCAGATTCGCCCAGATAGTCGGCTCAAAAACATTCACACCCACCTGGCTCCCTGATGGATACTGCAGAACTTTAGAAGAACATATCATTTTACACCACATTTTTCCAATTGCAGAATACCTGATTGCATTACGCAGACTAAATTCCAGAAAGCCATTTTATGCAATTTCGAGACAAAATCCAATTCTTAATCAGGCCTCGGTGTTCCATCAAAACAATAATATTATATTGTATTCAAGCTGTCCATAATTTGGATAAGACAACAACGTAAAATACATTGAATACCACAATATAATTTCCTGCCCAAACCTATCCAAGACATCCCAGTGACCCTAGGTTGAAACCAATCCGATGATTTTATTTCATTTGCCGACAGAAGAAACTACATGTGTAGGACCCAAACATTGTGAAATCAGACCCAAATACTGCGAAATCTACTTATATACATATTCTTCTCCAGTTTATGGCCGTTTTGACGGGGGAATTGTGTTTTAATTCCTCGGATTTTGAGGTTCCATGGGGTGCCTAATTTTGAGCCATCCCCATTTGATGCATGATGCCACATGTGTTGATCCCCTGGCCTTCCATTGTGCCAAACGAACCAATGGATTTAGCGCATTATTCACAAAGCTTCATGTTGCTAGCAGTTTCTCATCTCCGGACACATCAGCGCTGGAGTTGGCTCCTCATCCGCTGAGATTTTGCCACCGAGTTCTCCAAGCCGCCACGAAACGCAGCCAGACAAAACGACGGTCCAGATCAGCGACAAGGTGAATCTTGGTTGGGCATGTAGACCTCCATGATGCCATGGTATGCCATGTGTCACGTGAGAGTCTCTCGATTTTGCGTCAGTTCCTCCTCCTTTTCCTCCTTTTCATCCTTTTCCTCCTTTTTATCCTTTTCCTCCTCCTCGTGGCTCCTCCTCAAATAGCAAGATCGCGAAGTCTCTGTGTCATCCTGTGCCTGTCGGAAGTATATTACATATCAATATACACATGCCCATGTCATTCCATGTTAATAAATATGTCAGCATCATATTAAAAATGTCGGATTTGCCCTGAGAACACACGTCAGATTTTATGTAAGGATACTATATATGTGTGTGTCAGAATGCATGTCAGAAATGATATCAGAATACATGCATGAATTCATGTCAGTATATGTATATATAAACATAAACATATATATATTATAAACATTATATGTTAGGCCCATCCCCTGTTTACATTAGTTTCAACAGTGTGTTGGCCGTGTTTTGGCTATGAGATCCTGGATTTTCAGGTCATTTTAAGCTTGTGAGCATTTCACGGCGATGAGGTGTGAGATGATATTTGTTCTAGTTCAAATCCCATTTGTCCGAATAAAGCACTCCGGAAGAAACAGGTCCAACAGGTTGAGTATCGGTTATGTTATGATGCCTTCACTTTGGAGCCCTGCTTTTTGTGCCACGACAAAAAAAACCGAGTTCTTTGTATGGGAAGGGGTTTGACATGGTTTGACCTTATTTGCTGCCTCCTGAATGGCCCCTGGCCGCGTTTCAGTGCCAAGCTATCACAAGTGTTTAATGCAGTGTTTGAGCACATTTGATGCCGCC